CGGCCCGCAGGATGGACGGCGGGTCAGGGGGCCTGGGGTCTGGGGACAACGCCCCGACCACTGAGGCTCTTTTCGTGGCACTGGGCGCGGGCGTGACGGCGCTCAGTCATCCCCTGCTCTACGTGAAGCTGCTCATCCAGGTGGGGGACCAGAGGCGCCGTAGGGAGATGAGAGACTGATGTGAAGGTGACAGGCCAGGATTTGGAGGATTGGGGCGGGGAGTCAATGGCGACGGATTTGGGGAGAGGGGTGGGGACGGCGGGTTTGGGGGGCCGAAGTGGGTGGGAGGGGAGGGCAGCCGTGTGGGAACGCAGAGGTCACGGGTTTTAGAATGCAGAAAGGAGACGAAGGGGTTAGAGTAATAGCGGATTTGGGAGAGGGTGGAAGGAACAAGCGATTTGGGGGGTGCCAAGGAGGGGGCGATGGTCTGGAAAAACATATTTGGGAAATAAAGGAGTGGGGACGATGGACTTGGGATAGGGAAGGGAACGAATTTGGGGTGAGGGAAGAAGCAACAGAATTGGGGGAGGGGCGAGAAGTTTGGGTGAAGAGATGGGGAGGAAGGTTGGGAGCCCGGGCGAAGTGTTTAGAGGCTGAGGAGCACATATTTGGGGTAGAGGGGAACGGGGGCTCTGGATTTGGTAGAGATGGATGTAAAACGTCGTGGGGTGGAGACAAAGTGGGCACCAGGGCCAGAAATTTAGGAGGGAAAGAAGGACACCAGACTGGGGGTGGACAGTGAAAACAGGTCTTGGGTTTCATTGTGATTTAATTTGGTGGGAGGGTGCAAAGGCAAAGAATTTTGCAGGGGAATGCTATCGGTTTACCGGAGATGGGGGCTCTGGATTTGATGGCGACGACAGATTTGGTAGGAGGAGGGGACAGGGTGACGCGTATGGGGGGAGGGGAACAGATAGGGCCAGCGTTGGGGGAGGGGCGTGGCAGCGATTTGTCTAGAGAGGGAAGCTAGGAGCAGGCTTTAAGCGGGGAAGGGGATGACGCATTTGGAGGAGGAAATGGAAGTCAATAGTTGGGGTCAGAAAGGAATCACAGTGCTTGTATCTGGGCAGATGAGGAGAAGGAGCACGGGAGTATTGAAATTGGGCAGAAGGGACAGTGGAGACATAGGTGGCAGGATAGGTAGGGATTACCAGAAATTGAGACCGAGGTAGGGATGTCTCTAGAACGGAGGGATGCATGGGCACTTGGCAGATTTGGTGGTGGCCGGCAATGCGGAACAGATGAAGTGTGCTGCTTGAGAGGAGTGAGCTGGAATGAAGGGCGTGTGGAGGTGTGAGAATTAGGTGGGTGTGGCTGGGATGGGTACAGTTTTGATGGGGGTCATTAGGCCAGAATGTTCCCGTTAAGAAGAGTGGGAGGAGGAAGGTTAAAAATTGAAGTGGAGACCCATCCAAGATTTCAGTTGAGGCAGGTGGGTGTCAGATTTTACCGTCTCTATAATTGAACTGAGAGAATGCAAAATACAACTGGAATGAGAAGGTCTTGAGAATGAGAGTAGTTGAAATCTGGGATCTGAGGAATGGTAATAGATTTGTGGGTGTGACCAGGAATATGACAAGGAATGAGGAGATTCAGTCAGAGGCATCAAGGTGCCTGACTAGACCCTAATTGTGACAGATTTGAAAACTGTTGATGGCGGAAGGTGTAGACCAAGACTGGTGTTTGGTTGTGATTTGGAAATGAGGGCTGTCTTACAGGGGTAAGATTGTATTTACAGCAGTTGAACTCGAAGTTTGGGAGATAAATTGATGCTTTGGAACTGATGGGACCTGAGAAGTGAGGGTTCTGGAAACTGATGGAATGAGACTGAGGGCTAGGAGTTTAGGGTACAGGTGGGAGAGTCTGTGGAGTGAAGGATGCTAGAGTACAAGGGCTCAGTGTGAGGGAAATGAAGAAGTGTCTTCATCATTTGGACGACGGCGGATCTGGTTTGAAGGAACATTGAAATAAGGGTGGTTTGGGAAGGGAATGGGGTAATGAAGGACTCTAAAGCATGAGAAGAACTAGATGGTGGGCAGGTAAGGATGGATGAGCCCTGTTGAAGGACCAGAGAGGTGCCTGTCTGATTTGGACCCCGTTGGTGTTGAGTGTAACATATATTAAGGTAAGATCTTCAATGGGTATAGCTTGGGAATCAGAGTAATATCTTGCAGAAAGGCAAATTACTGGGAGTGGAGGTGTCAGGAGTGGAGTGACAGATTGGGGATTAGGTACATAAGAATGCAGTGCCTTACATCAGGGCATGTGGCTGTCAGTTGGGAGCTGGAGATTTTAAGATGACAGACTGTCCCTGCTGGTATCTGATACAGGGCCACAGCATTTGCCATAGTTAGGACTGGGTTAACAGATTTGAGGATGGAATTGGGTTTAATGACTTGGGAACAAATAATTAAAACTTGAAGGCGAGAGGAATGCAGATGAGATACAGCCAGCGTGCCTATGATAACCCAATAGAAGTGAAGAAAGTAGATTCAACAGATTTGGGAGCCATGGGGATATGGGATAATGTTACAGATTTAAGGATGAAATTGGGGTCAGTGGGAGTCCCAAATAGTGTTGACTAAACTGGGTAAGGACGGCAAAAGAGCAGTGATGGCGATTTGGATCACTTCAGTGATACGTGAAGGCGTACCATCTGTATTTAAGAGAACACAGATCAAGACAGAACTTAACTCAGAACAACCGTGGAGCTTTTAACCCAGAAGGGAAAAGGTCTAGAAGGGAAGTACTCACTGCCTGGGTCAGCTGACTCACCCCTTTCCTCCTTTAGCTCCACTGGGTCAAAATTTTTTTCTTTTAAAGACAGTCCCCATCATAGAGGAGTTTTTAAATTTACAATCATTGATCTGTTAGGCGTCGCAGAATCACATCCATAGGAGATAGCCTGAACTTTCAAAAGCACTTGCTTGATAAAGGCAAAAGGGGACAGGGGTGATCCCAGAAAGCGTTGGAAGCATACCTAATCCAGTTTACAAGGTAGCACTTTCAAACCTGCCACTTCTACTGCCTCCCACAGCTGCAGGCCAAATCCCCTCCCACATCTCAGAGGAATCACTCTGGTCCATGGGCCCGGATGGCCTGCTTAGATGGCACAGGGCTGGTATCCTGGCCCCTTGCCAAGGGAGGAAGAGGCCTTCTCACTCCCCACCTAGGTGCTGGTCTCCTTGGCACCTTGCCTCCTCCCTGGCATCAGGGTCTCTCACCCCTCGACAGGGACTTCCTCCTCCTCACATGGATATGGATGGTCCTTCACCCACCCATGGGTTTAATAAATATTTCAGGCCAGGCACAGTGGCTCACGCCTGTAATCCCAGCACTTAGAGAGGCCAAGGCAAGTGGATCACCTGAGGTCGGGAGTTCGAGACCAGCCTGACCAACATGGAGAAACCCCGTCTGTACTAAAAATATAAAACATTAGCCAGATATGGTGGCGGGTGCCTGTAATCCCAGCTACTCGGGAGGCTGAGGTAGGAGAATCATTTGAACCCGGGAGGCGGAGGTTGTGGTGAGGCGAGAGCATGCCATTGCACTCCGGCCTAGGCAACAAGAGCTAAACTCTGTCTCAAAAATAAATAAACAAATACATAAATAAACATTTCAGATATAAGAAACATTGTATAGCAAGAACTGTCATAGCCCTTCAGAAATGAGGGGGTCATTTTTTCACAGGGATGTAGGGTGATTGAGGAGAGAACGCAGCTGAGGATGTGTTTGAGGAGCACCTGGAATTTGAGGTAATAGTTTGCTAAGCCTGGGAATGGGAGGAATAGACGTGGAGGTGTCTGCAGTAGATTTGGTAAGAAATTTGAGTTTGGGGTGCACTTTGGAATGGATGACTTAATGGCTGACCTGTCTGAGGTTTGGGTATGATGTGTTTTCTTATTGCCACATTTGGAATTGAGGTTGGGGTGAAGTTTTTCATTGGGAGATGAGAATAACTGAGATTTGTTCTGAGAGGGGAGTAGCGTTTGAAGTACATACAGAGGTTTCTACTGGGAATATCTGGGATTTGAATGTAAGAATGTTGGGGTGTGGGTGTGACTTGGACTGTGGTTGGGCAATGTCTGGGACCAGGCATTTCTGTTCATGGGGAGATTACATGCTGCCTATGGTTAGAGACACTGACGAGCTTTCTGGTGTTTTGATGGGGAAAACACAAACAAGAGCCACATTAGAATTTGTGGGAGAAGAGTAAGGCAAAGGGGACAGGAGGTGTGAGGAGAGGTGGTGAGGCTGAACGTCCCTTTGTCTTTGTTCATTCTGAAGGTGGGTCATGAGCCGATGCCCCCCACCCTTGGGACCAATGTGCTGGGGAGGAAGGTCCTCTATCTGCCGAGTTTCTTCACCTATGGTGAGTGTGCCTCCCGAGCAGGAAAGCCCACGCCAACAGAAAAGAGGCCTCAAGTGGGGAGCAGGACCAGCTGGCCCTGGGGAACCCACCGCGCAGCACGGCATGCAGAGTCGAGCTGGCACAGAGGAGGGGATCTAAGCATGCCCAGAGAGGGCATGGTGTCGGGGTAGGAGCAGGTGAACCATACAGCTTTCGTCCAGCTCCTCTGCCTGTACTGCCAGCTGCCAGCCCAGACAGTAGGAGGGGACAGACACAGGTGCCTGAGAGAGGACACTGGTCCCTGTTATTTCTGTTGCCCCGGGTTGTGCCTGGAACGGGCGTGGGGGTGATTTCCTTTTGCCCTGTGAGCAGCCTGGCCCTGCTACTCCAGTAGAAGGCCTGTGGGGCTCCTCCTGCGTTCTTTTCTTTCATCCCACCTGGGTGTCTTGTTTCCCCTGCATTCCTCAGGCAGTGAGTGGTGCTCACTCGCTCTGGTGTCTCCATCTGTTGGTTACAGAATGGTGTGCAGTGAATTGCAGCTTCACTTCTGTATGCTGCGTGAGCTTGGGCGGGCCACTTACCTGCTGTGGCCCGGCTGCACCCCTTGTCTGCAAAGTAAGGTCAGCTTCTCCTGCCCAGGCCTTCCTGCAGGCTCCCCATCTGTCATCAAGAAGCCCACCTTGCTGCCTCTGCTGCCCATCCCCTGGCCCACAGGTGCCGGCTGGCCAGGACCTTGTCATGTTCCTCTCCCGGTCCCCACCCTCACCAGATGACCATGATGAGGGCCTTCTTTAAATGTGCCCTTTCTCTCCATGTTCACAGCTGGAGTTCCATTCCAGGCGAGTCCCCTCAAGTTTCCTGCACCTCTGCTCTACCCTGAGAATGTTCTCCAGAATCTATCTTTCTGTTGAGTAACTTGGGGCTTGGCCTCTGTGTTACCTTTTCCACTTCACATGCTGTTGGCAGAATTGGGTGTGATATTTCTCTTCCAGTTTTGTCCCTGTGTTGTTGAGTGCAGAGTCTAGGGCCAGGTGGAATGTGTCATCTTGTGAGGAAATGTGTTTGTGTTGTTTTTTACTTAAAACTTGTCAGCGTAGTGGAGTGGGGAATGACAGAAGTAGGAAGGCACCCCACCATTGCGTAGTGAGGCAGTATACAGAGAGGTAAGGCAGCCCAGGTGGAGGGCTGCGGCCCTGCACGGGGCCTTCTCTGGATCTGGTTGCACGTGCTATGTTCTGAGAGGTGAGATTAGAGCCCAGATCATCTCTATTCATGTGACACAGCCATTCCCAAAAGGAAACAGAGCAGAGGGAACTTGACCCTCATCTTACTGCCTCTTGTGAGGATGAACAGAGTTCTGAGGTGTGCCCCCAGCCTTGTTTATATAAATGTAGCTTTAATCTAGGGGTGAGCAGATGTCCGTTGGGGATCTCCGGACACTAGGCCTACTTTGGAGTCAGGGAGGGGACCCACCATTTGGCTCTCTGGTACAGCGTGGACAGTGTCTGCTCCTCTACTTGTCATGGCTGAAAGTACTGCAGCTGTCGTGACATTCTCTGGTGTAGAAGAAAGAACTTCCCAGAGGGTTTCCAGGCACTGCAGAAAGACCCGGAATGAGGGGGACCCTGGCCAGCCTGAGGCCTTAGGACCCACAGAGGCCCCTGCAGGCATTTCAGCACGCCTCTCTCCGCTCTCACTTGTTCCCCAGGCCCCTCGGAAATGGAGAGAAATGAAGGTCCTTATTCTGTTTTTTTACAGGTGGGCAGATGGAAGAGGGTAGATGTTTTGCTCAGGATCACACACAGAGGTCCTGAGGCTCCCTCTCCTCTCTAGGATCCACCCTCCCCCAAAGCAAATTTTCCTCTGTCTGTTCAGTCTGTGAAGTAGGGCACCTTGCCAGGTCACCCAGCATCCCCTCCCTTCCTCCTCCTCTCTTTCCAGCCCACCCCCATCTCAGGAAATCACATATACAGGTAACAGGTGTTCTCAGCCTCGTGAAAAACCCATACTAGCTGTGACATTGAATTGCTGGGCTGGCAGACATCTGGGAGGAGCAAAAGGCATATTTGCTTCTTCCTGCCTCTGCGCGGTGCCAGAGAGCTAAAGTCATGGTCTAAAAGAGGGAGCATGCTGTCTGAGAGAATGTTCTGCTAGCTTCCAGATGCACAGATTTATAAAAATACCACCCTGCCATTTAAAACATGTTTAAAGTGTTGATAGAAAACAATGAATCGTATCCTTAGAAAGAGAGACCCTAGTGAAAGAAACACTAACTCACACAGGTAGGGTCTAGCTTCCATAACATTTAAGTTTATTCTGTGGAATTGTTCATTGGTACTTCTGTTTTAGTTACTTCTCCATAGACTTGTTTTTCCCTTGACTAATAAATGCCAACAGGTGCCAGGTGGTATGCTGGGTGTAGCACAGTAGCAGGGTGGAGACTATCCAGGCCGTCGCGTGTGCAGGGGTGTTCTTGAGCCTGCCTTCTGGGAGCCCTTCCTTTTCCTTTTTCCCTCCTTTAGGTTGCAGACTTCATCATTCCCTGTGGGCAGTTTCTCTGTGTTTCCTATTTTCTTTTCATCAAGAAAAACATAACTTTTAAGCAACAGAATTGTTTTCTGTGTTGCAGCATTTAAGTTGCTGAGTTGAGAAATCACGACTGAGTTTGCCAAGTAGAGTTTTTAAAGCAAAAAGAGAAAGAAAAGAAAGAGAGAGAGAGAGAGAGAGGAAGGGGGAGGGAGAGAAAATGGAAGGAAGGAAAGGAAAGGAAAGGGAAAAGAAAGGGAAGGGAAAAGGAAGGGAAGGAAGGAAAATGTATGAACTTGTTTGTTAGAAATAGATTTTGAGGCTTTTACTAAAAGAAATGGGCTAGAAGACATTTGGGGGTTAGGGCCTGACCGCTTCCAGGTCCTGGACAGATGCTCCCTTCTGTGCCTGTAGTCAGCAGTTACCTGAGGGACAAGCCGAGCCTGGTCTGGGTGTGTGTGACCCAGGAGTGGGTGCCCCTGAACTGGGTGTAACTCCTCTACCACCTCTGTTTTCTTACAGCCAAGTACATTGTGCAAGTGGATGGTAAGATAGGGCTGTTCCGAGGCCTGAGTCCCCGGCTGATGTCCAACGCCCTTTCCACTGTGACTCGGGGTAGCATGAAGAAGGTGAGCCCACACAAAACCAGGAACAGTGGCCCGAGGTTTCCTCATACTCCCAACCACTCCTGCAGCAGCCAGTTACCCTGGTCCTGCCTCCTTCTTCCCAGACCGTTGGAAGCCCCATGGGAGAGCTCCCACCCCACAGGTCTGCTTTCCCACAGCTGTGACACCAGATGGTGGCTTTCTTTTTCCCCCACGCTCCAGACCTGACCTGGAGGTCACCTGAGGTGGGCCCAGCCAATAGACACTGCAGAGGAAATATTTGGAGCTGGTTCCTGCCGCCTGAGTCCCCGAAGAGTTCCATGGAAGAGGCGTAGCTGAACTTGGTTCTTTCACTTCCCTGTTTCAGGTTTTCCCTCCAGATGAGATTGAGCAGGTTTCCAACAAGGATGATATGAAGACTTCCCTGAAGAAAGTTGTGAAGGAGGTGGGTGTTGAGAGTTGGAGAGGGAGAGGCGTGTGGCGGGGAGCCTAATGATTTCTCACCCCCAAGTTGGGCAGGTCATTGACAAGTGGAAGAGTTGGGTCCTCGTGCATGCATGGGTGGGATGGTAAGGGAAGGAGCCCTGGCCTGGGTGGGCAGGGAACCCCGGAAAGCCTTCTCAGCCATTTTTGGGCCTAGCCTGGGACCCGGCAGCACTCCTGGGTGGGGGACTGGGGAGTGGGGCAACAGGTGGAGCCATCTTTGGCAGACCGACCCCACGTGCAGTCCCTGGGACGGGTTTCTCCCTCCCAAGCACTTGTAGCTCCCCTCGAGGGCCAGTTCCAGAGACAGGCTGCGGGTGGCGAGTCCCCACCCCATGCTCTCTTCCAGACCTCCTACGAGATGATGATGCAGTGTGTGTCCCGCATGTTGGCCCACCCCCTGCACGGTAAGCTCCCCCTTCCCCGAGACTCTCTAAGCCGGGGTGGGGACGTGGGGTGGGGGCGCCCCCTCGTGGACTGTAGATAGACAGTCTTAGACCGGTTGGGAAGTGGTAGTGGGGTGGGAGGTATTCTACTGGAACCCACCCCACTGAGGAGAGATTGGAATTCTTTCCAAAGGGAGGTGGGGCTCTTCCCAGGCAGAAGAAATGGGGCGCTGTGGTCATGGGATGTGACAGGGAACCCCAAAGTCCCTCTTTCTCTCCTGCTGTCTGAACAGGCCATGTTGTTCAGTGGCCACTCTGCACCCGGCACCCGGCGGCTGGGGCATCATGAGGTTTGGCCCACCACATCACCTTGTGTGTGTTTTGTTTTTCCTCAGTCATCTCAATGCGCTGCATGGTCCAGTTTGTGGGACGGGAGGCCAAGTACAGGTGGGTAACTCTTGGGACAGGCAGAGTGGCCCTGTTACCTTTTCAGAGTCTGCCAGGGCAGGCTGTGCTGGGGTTGGTTGCTGCACCTTTTCTGCTCTAGTCCTGTGTGAGTTCAGCCTGCTGCCTGGCTTCTGAGGAATGTTGCAGTGGCTTCCATAGTCTGTCCAGGGGCATTTGCTCTTCTCCATCTCTTATCAAGGGCAGCCCTGGATGAGCCTAGATGCCTTTGCAGAGGGGTGAGTGGGATTGTACTCAGCTTGGATTAGGATTTCCGGCACCAGAGCTGATTCTGCCACTTAGGACTGAGCTGGGGTCTCCTTGGACTCCCAAGGTAATGCTGTCATGATTTTTCCGGCCATCATAGGCTGATAGCTCTTTTTATCCCCTGTGAAGAAGCCATCCACCCCATGGGCTTGGGGCTCATTCCTTCAACTGTGTACCAGACCTTCACCTAGATCTGCTGTGTGCAGCCCTGGGCAGGTGTCAGGGGCATATGTGTTGACAGAGGTGGGTCCTGGAGGCATGTGGCAGAAGGACACACCTGGGTTGCCCTTCCTCGCTTAAGATTCTCATTTCCTGGGGTCAGCGTTTTTTGCAGCCGTCCTTTGGGGCCACCACCCCAGGAAGCTCAGCTGCCATGGTGCCTCATTTTGGGGTCATTAATGGGAAATTGGCCCATTCCCCTAGACTGAAGTATGAGGTCAGTAGTTGGGACCAGGCGGGTATAATCTGGCAACCACTGTTTTGAGAGGTGGGGCCGGGCCTGACAGGGCTGGGATGATCTGGGTCCAGGGCTACCCAGGGCTTTGCCTTCCACTGGCTTCCTCTGTTAGGTTGCCCCTTCCACCTGGGCTTTGTGCAGCCTCCATTCAGGACAAGCCAATTGTCATTTCCAGCCATAGGTCACAAAGGTTGTTATTGAGCTTCCTTGGCATTTCACGCCTAAGAACCCGCAGCCTGTCCTCTCATCTCTAACAGGGTGCAGTGGCCAGGGCATGAGTCCCCGGCTCCCTGCTCAGGACTGCCAGATGTCTTCTCCTAGGCTGGTTCCAGTGCCTCCTCCTGCAGGGCCCTGTATTCTTTCTCTGCCCTCTGGGAAAGTAATTCTCTCGGCTCACTACCGCCTTCTACTCTTACTCTCTTGAGCAGGCCTGTGGGCTCCTCTGGTGGAGTGTTGTTTAACCAGAGATAAGTGTGAGGGCCAGGTAAGAGAAGGGCCTGCCATCTCTGCAACAGTGGCCGAAGTCGGGAGATGCATTCCTAAACTCCGATCTCACAGAAAACGCCAGTATAGGACTGCTAGTGGGCTGCTCTCGTGGGTGGTTGGGCTTCCCCAGTCTCCGTGAACTGTGTAAACTCCTCCTCACCCCGACCAAACGCTCTCTGTGCCTTTCTACTTGGTTCTTCCTGGTAATAATCCTCCCCACCCCACCAGGACTGGCTGGATCTGAGCAGAGCTCGGGGGCTCAGCCCCACACCAAGGGGTGGGCTTCCGGTAGGTGACTGCATGACCCTGTATCTCTGTCTTGTCTTCTTCACAGTGGTGTGCTGAGCTCCATTGGGAAAATTTTCAAAGAGGAAGGGCTGCTGGGATTCTTTGTGTACGTGAGTCTATATACCCCATAACTGGCTACGGGTCTGGCTCTGTTAACACATGTGTCCTCAACCTCTCAGACCACAGCTGCTGGCCTGGGACTAACCACATGGCCCTGCCCTAGCCCAAGTGCTATGGCCAGCTCTCTAGAGCTCCATGGCGTGTCCAGACTGCTTAGCCCTTTTCAGGCCATGGCTCATGTAAAAGTGGAACTGTGTGTCTAGTACATGGGGGAGATGAACTGATCAGCCCCACTGGGCCTCATCCAGCTGCGGTGGGTGTGGGGCTGGTCTTCGTGAGCTAAGTCACTGCATAGTCCTTGGCCTCACTGCTAAAACATGACTGAATATCTGACTTGGACTGAGGGTGGAGCTCTGGAAGCTCACGGGCTGACCACAGCCAGTGGATTCTGTTTGACATTGCTTTTCTGATAAATTAGTTGTTGACGTTGACATTTAAGGTATGTTGCACAAAATTCCACATTTCTAGCATCTCTTTGAAAAGTCAGAAAATCTTGTCCTGCTGGGTAGTTCTTTCTGTAGAGCAGCCATTGGCCAGGACCCAGGACCTGGTCCTTTGGCAGGGCACATGGTCTCCAAGGGCCACAGACACCCTGCACTTCGTCACCTCACGTCCAGTTTATTTCACCTCTAAATGAAGCGCATACTGAAAAGATTATGTTCAGAAAGAATAAAGCACAGACAGAACCCAGAAGCCAGGCTTGATGGCTGTTTTTTGATTTGCTGTTCTAAGGTCTAGGCAGTGACGTATATGCTGACAGGTACGTCACAAATGTGGTAGACACATGGTATACAGCAGTGTCCGCTGTACTAGACACAGGGCTCCATATTATTCATAAGAAGTCTTTATATCATGGTTTTCCAGTTTGTCAGATGTTTTTTATTTATGGCCCCTTGTTTAACCAAGAAATGACTACTTGTAGGTGCATGTGCATGTATGTGTATATAATACAGAAATATATATACAGTTCTCAGCAGGAGATGATTTTGCTCCCCAGGGAACACTGGCAGTGTCCGGAGACATCTTGTAGTTGTCACAACTGGCATCTAGTGGGTAGAGGCCAGAGACGCTGCTAAACATCCTGCAGTACACAGGACAACCCCGCAACAAAGACTGATTCAGCCTGGTGTGGTTGCTTGCATCTGTGATCCCAGTTACTCAGGATTAGTCTCAGTGGTTTCTGCAGCTGTCCGGAGGCCAAGGCAGGAGGATTACTTGAGGCCAGAAGTTCAAGACCAGCCTGAGCAACATAGCAAGACTTCTGTCTCTATAAAAATGTTTTTAAAAGTTAGCTGGGCGTGGAAGCACTCACCTGTAGTCCTAGCTACCTGGGAGGCTGAGATGGGAGGATGGCTTGAGCCCCGGAGTTGGAGACTGCAGTGAGCTATGATTGCACCACTGCACTCCAGCCTGGGTGACAGAGTGAGACCCTGTCTCTTGGGGAGAAAAAAAAATTATTCAGCCCAAAATGTCAATAGTGCCAAGGTTGAGAAACTCTGATTTATATTCATACACGCATATATGTATGTATAAATATTTATACATATATATATTTGCGCATGTACCTGGTAACAAACCAACATTCGTGACATGCCTATCAGCATGTATGTCACTACCTAGACCTTAAAACGGCAAATCAAAAAACGACTCACCAAGCCTGGCTTCTGGGTTCCGTCTGTGCTTTATTCTTTCTGAACATAGTCTTTTCAGTATGCGCTTTCTTTAGAGGTGAAGTAAGTTGGATGTGAGGTGACAAAGTGCAGGGCATCTGTGGCCCTCAGAGACCGTGTGCCCTGCCAAAGGGGTAGCCCCTGGGCCCCAGCCAATGGCTGCTCTACAGAAACAGCCACCCATCTTGAAACACTGCACATGACCACCTCTGGCATTTTTCATACTGCGTAGTTCTCTTCTGGTGTGTGAATAGGATTCCCACACAACAGATGCCTACTCTTTGGGTTCTTTTTCGCCATGTGATTTTGGAACAGGTGATATGCATACATGTTACAGTTCATAGAAAGCACCAAAGGGTATATAGCACGTAGTCAATCTGAGCACAAGCAGGAACGACAAGATTAGAAATTGCATTCACAGAGGTTCATTTTATTAATACTCCTTATGGATGTATTACATATATTCTTTTGAGTTTTTCAAATATTTTATAAGTTTCTTTTTTTAATTCAAAAATAAATAATTCTGCTTTTCCTCCCAGGAGACAGCCATCCTTCTCCTGGAGAGCCTCCCAGGGCACTCCGTACCTAAACAAGCAAATACACTAAAAAACACACAAGAGGCACGTGGGACCCACTGACCTCAAACTGGCCTTTTACCCTCAGCACTGCATCTTGGGGAACCTTCCTTAGCAGTTTAAAGGCCATCACTTAAAAAGTTAGCCCTCCTTGTAAATGCTTGCATAGAATCTTTTTGATAGAATATTTTCAGGGGCGAAGAGAACAGATGCATTGAGCAATGTGTCTTCTGGGAGTTGGTTAGGTAAAGAGGCCAGGAAAAAATTACCAACAGGTCGACACTATTGTTATCTGCATTTGGAAATTGCAAATTTGGCAGTATTCACATCTTGATCCCTGGCTTCTGTGGTTTGAAAACTGCTTGAGACTGTTAACTAATTTGTGGCATCCAAAGTGCCATAGAACACCTCCCCATGGGAAAGGAGCACTACCTTCCCAGTGTGCGTAGCTGCTGGCCCCTGCAGGCTTCCTTTCTAAGGCTGTGCCATTGGATATGCTAAGATTTTGAACTTGGAACATCCCTGCCTGCTTCCTGGGTGTGGAGCCCCCAGGGACTGCTCCTCTCCCTCTCCTGCTCATCTCTGCTTACCTTGTTTTTTAGTGGATTAATCCCTCACCTCCTGGGCGATGTGGTTTTCTTGTGGGGCTGTAACCTGCTGGCCCACTTCATCAATGCCTACCTGGTGGATGACAGCGTGAGTGACACCCCAGGGGGGCTGGGAAACGACCAGAATCCAGGTTCCCAGGTTGGTTGGAACAAGGACTTGTCCTTCTTTCCGTGTACTGCTGATGCCCAGGGTCTGGGACAAAGTCGAGGATTCTGGGATTCTGAGCATCAGGCCCGGAGGGTGAGAGAGGACCTCTCATTGTCCCTGGGGTCATCTTTGTCTAAGGGGAGTATGGCCATGAGAGGCGAGATTCCAGATTAGTACCCAGACCTGGGAGGAATTAATGGAATGCTTGTCCCTGGGCAGCCTTAGAAACCAACCCCAGCTTATCTAAGGCTGCTCCGAGGCAGTGACCCAACTAGGGCTCAGGAAGTCAGAAGATAGACCAGCTAATAGTGAGCACCCTTTGACCATTGCATCACGTCTTTTGCTTTTCAAAACCCTTTTGTGAACATTGTGGCCTTTGATCTGACGGCATCCTAGTTGTGAAGGGAACAGGGCAGATATAATGTTCCGTTTACCAACACAGAAATTGAGACCCAGAGATCACAAATTCTGGAGAACTCTGGGCTCTCCAGAGTCACTCAGCTAGAACTGACAGGGCTGGAATTAGATCCCTGGCCAGGCTAAGGGTACATTCCTCTGAGTTTTTTCAGATTGGCTAGGGAGTATACAGCCCAGGCTCACCCTCCTATTTTGTTAGCTGTGGTCTACACAGCCTAGTATACATAGACCTTTCAGCAGGTCAGGTCAGGCATAGGAAGGCCTGGTCCTTCTACACAGCACTAGTTGAAGAAGGCCGTCCAGGTACCTGAGGGGTGGACTGGTTCTGCCTGAACCAAGATAAGAGGTGGGGAGCAGCGATGGCTGGGGATCGCAGTGTCCAGACATTCTCACAGTGGGGATCGCCAGGCCCAGGAGGCTAGGAGGGCCTGGGGACCTGTCCGCCAGAATCGCCTGGGTGGGAAGGGGTTCATGTTCCACGTGTGTGTGTCTGGCACCTGTCTGTTCTGTGTGGTGAGGAGTGCCCCATCCCAGATGGGAGCCTCTGCTTGCAGGGAGACTGGCCACTTGACCTGGGCAGGTGAGTCTTAACTGGCCTTTCAGTGTAAGCAAATTAAAGTGGCTCCATAGAGACCCACCCCATCTACAATCACAGTGGCACATTCCTGCAGTTCTGCCTTTCTTGGGGGCCTTGTGGGTGGGTAAGCTGTGCTGTCACATACAGAGCAAGGGTGGCCGGGAGTGCACAGCTCAATGTTTCTCATCTAGGTGGGCAGCTGTCTGACCAGAGGCTGCTGTGCTTACATCAGCAATAACAGCAGTCAACAGATTTGTTTAAAGTGTGTTTAGAGTGCTTTTCTGTGTGTGGCTTAAAGGCTGAGATGAGGCTGCCGGGCTATCAAAGCCACTCAAGCAGACCTCTAAGCAAATCTCTGCCCAAGGCCCCAGGGCATCGATCTGGTGGGATGGCTGCTCCACAGGAAGCTGAGGCTGGGGGAGCCACCTTTCCTCACTAGGAGCTGTTTGCTTGAGCAAAGCAGGATTTGAGGAGTTGGGGTCTGAAGGGGGAAAAGCTTGCCGAGGTGGAGGTGGCAGTAAGCCTGGAGTTGCCCTCACCTCACCCCACAGGCCAGGATTTGCCTTTGGGTGTTAGAGTGCATGTGTGTCTTAGCGCCGACTGCGTGCCAAGTCCTGGATGTTGATCAGGCAGACACAGGTTCAGCCCTTGAGGCTCACAGCCTGGTGGGGTTGCACAGGCAGCGGCAGCTGATCCCTCTTACCGGGTGTCCTTCTCAGGACTCCCTTCAGTCCACTTACCCTGCTTCTGCCCCCAGGCCTTCTCTGGGCAGTGACTGTGAGGCCCGACAGGAAAGGCATGTGTGGCGTGCTTGCGAGAAGCTGAGCACAGAGGGTGGGGTGAGGGCATGTGGATCTGAAGTCTGCGTCCTGAGGTGCCTGTGGCAAACCGCTCCTCCTTTCTGTCTCCTCAGTTCAGCCAGGCCCTGGCCATCCGGAGCTATACCAAGTTCGTGATGGGGGTAAGTCAAGCCAGCTGCCCTTCCTTCCCACTGCCTTGCGGACCCAAGTGGGGTCTAGGAGGCCAACCCTGGTAATGGCTGGAGGCAAGTCTTGGTACAGGGTGTTGGCGTGGTGTGTCTCTGCTCGCCAGGCTGGGGTAGGTTACTGGCACTCAGGCCTCTCTGGGTTTCAGATTGCAGTGAGCATGCTGACCTACCCCTTCCTGCTAGTCGGCGACCTCATGGCTGTGAACAACTGCGGGTAGGTGTGCGCCCTTCTACTTGCCACTCTACCTACCAAGGCTGTGGGGTGGGGGAGACCCAGCAAGCCCTTGCAGCACTCTGCCCCCTCCCACCTGCTCTGTGTGTAGGCTCAGCCTGCCAGGCACCCTGGCTTCCGCTGGGATTTCCCAGCACCCCCTGGGGTGAACTATGGTGTCAGGGTGTGGACGAGTGGTAGCCCGAAGGCATTCCTTCTTGAAGTGGCTTTCCCATGGCTGACTGTCTCCCACTGTTCTCTGCATCTACACTCTCCTTCCTGGGCAGGCTGCAGGCTGGGCTTCCCCCGTACTCCCCGGTGTTCAAATCCTGGATTCACTGCTGGAAGTACCTGAGTGTGCAGGTGAGCAAGCACTGGACGGAGGAGGTCTTTCCTGTTCTTTGCCACATCCTTCAGCTGAAATGATTTTGTGGATGCTTCACTGCATGCAAAGATAAGTGGTTTCATGGAATCTAATATTGTGAGGAGACACTTGGTGTCTATAAGGCATTTAAGTTTTCATCTTACCTAATTTCAGAAAGGATTTGAGGTGGCTAAGTGTGGGTTTATTTTAAGATTAAATATCATACAAGACCTTTTCTTCTTTGAGTCTTAAAGACTCTTAGGATAAGGATAAGAGAACTCTGGCCCAGGTGGCAGGTGGCAAAGCCCAAGAACTGCTTCTCCTTCAAGTAACATGGGCTGAAAATTCGAGGGCTGTAACCAGTTGAGCTGAGTTCCTGGGTTGTTAGGGCAACTGGCATTGGAGACCAACTCCTCCCTCCTGCAGGACATTCCTGGGCCCAGGAAAGCCTGTGGGTGGAGCTGGGCCACGTGGGGACCTGGCAGCAGTACCAGCCTTGGGTTCTCATGTTCTGTGCCGAAGCTACCTCTCCCTGGCTGGAGATCTTGGGCCCAGCAGTCAGGTCCAGGCTCTGGTCAAGGGCAGAACCTTGCCTTTTCCTGGCCTTGGTTTGCCTCGCAGTGAAATGGGGCAGTGGCCTGGAGGGAGCCAGAGCGCTGACTGGCCTCAAGGCTGAGAAGAGGACAGATGGGAGGGAAGCAGGGAGGAGAGCCACAGTTCTTCCCAGTGGCCCTGGTCAGTGTCAGTGTGTCTCGTCCTCCCTGTGAGCATTGAAAGAGTCCCAGACCACTTGGGCTCTGAAGCAAGAGGGGCAATGAGCCTCGTCTCTGGGCTCTCCTACAGAGTAGCCCCAAAGACACCCCTGGGCAGGACATGAACCGCTCCCGTCTGCTTCAACACAGGCAGATTCTGCCCTCCAGGGATGTAGGCCGAGGCTGTCCACCCCGGAGCTAGGTCTTTGAGCTCCTGGACCCTTCTTTGCCTGACACTGGCCTTCCTCTCGGAGGGACAAGGAAGCATGGCCTCCCTTTCACTCACCCTCTTTTTCCTTCTGGTCCAGGGCCAGCTCTTCCGAGGCTCCAGCCTGCTTTTCCGCCGGGTGTCATCAGGATCATGCTTTGCCCTGGAGTAACCTGAATCATCTAAAAAACGGTCTCAACCTGGCCACCGTGGGTGAGGCCTGACCACCTTGGGACACCTGCAAGACGACTCCAAACCAACAACAACCAGATGTGCTCCAGCCCAGCCGGGCTTCAGTTTCCATATTTGCCATGTGTCTGTCCAGATGTGGGGTTGGGCGGGGATGGGGCTGCACCCAGTGGATTGGGTCACCTGGCAGACCTGGGGAAGATGAGGCGAGGTGGGGAGTTGAGAGAATCCCCATACCTCCCAGATTTGCTGAGTCTGTCTTGTGCAAAGGGCCAGAGAATGGCTTATGGGGGCCCAGGTTGGATGGGGAAAGGCTAATGGGGTCAGACCCCACCCCCTCTACCCCTCCAGTCAGCCCAGCGCCCATCCTGCAGCTCAGCTGGGAGCATCATTCTCCTGCTTTGTACATAGGGCGTGATCCCCTGGCACATGGCCACCATCATGTCTAGGCCTATGCTAGGAGGCAAATGCCAGGCTCTGCCTGCGTTTTTCTCAACACTACTTTTCTGATATGAGGGCAGCACCTGCCTCTGAATGGGAAATCATGCGACGACTCGGAATGTGTCCTCCTCATCGAATGCTCACATGTTTAATGGTGATGCCTCGCGTACAGGATCTGGTTCCCTGTGCAGTTGTGAATACCCAGAGGTTGGGCAGATCAGTGTCTCCAGTCCCACCCAGTTTTAAAGTTCATGGTAAGATTTGACCCCATCTCCCGCAAATAAATGTATTGGTGATTTGGAGTTTTGTGGGGAGTCTCTTATTTTTGTAAGCTTAAAAATCTATCTATAGAGTCTGTCTTTCCCAGTCCTTCCTGTTGGTGTGAGAAGGGGCTGTAAAGAGGCAGGGCAGGGGGCTGCCTGATGGGAGATGTAGGTACCAGAGCTTGGTGTAGCTCAGTCTCCGGGGAGACACTGGGTGATGAGGCTGGGGTGTCAGTTTCCACAGCAGCAACCAGTGTGCAGGTCTGTTGCCAGGGAGACAGGCCTTTCAGAAAGTGTTCCACCCACACCCCTGACTGTCATATCTTAGCACTGTTCAAGGATGACGTATCTTCAGGTTTTACGAAGTGTCACTTGGTATAGTGGCCATGGTTACATCAGAACGGGCAGACCTCCCTTCCATCGAATGGTTTTTGCCCAGCACTGGGGTCTGTAAGCAGACAAAGCTTACACATATTTTGAGGCCCAGCTAGGTTCCCCCAGGTATTTCTCTGCTCTCGCTCAAGGTATCCTGGCTTGTGAGAGCTGGGTTCTGGTAGCTTTTAACAGTGGACTCACGGACAGTTTCACTTCACATGTCCTCGTTTCCCAGGAAACGAGGTGTTATGTAAATGTACACTGGTTGAGGCCACCAAGGTCTCATAACTTTGTCACCCATATTAACTTTTCTAGGGAAACACCCCAGAGGGCTAAGGTAGTGGGAGGAACACATGTGGGGGTGGGCAGGGCAAGCCTGTAGAGGAGGACCTTGGGTTCCCAGGTCCTTCAGAGGGGAGTCTGCCCCGTGGCCTTTCTCCAGCCCAGTGTGCTTTTCCAGAGACAGACCACTGTTCTGGGGTGTCTTTTCTTCCTGTTGCTCCACCCTCAGATCCTGTTTTTGCATGGATTAATTCCTAAGGCCCCCCCTAGATTGAGGGGCACCTGTATCTCTGGAGCCTGAGCTAAGCTGGATCTGAAGAGCTCCTCCCAGAAGTTCAGAGAGGCTGCCCGGAGTACAGAGCAAGGTTTTGATGGCCTTGGCCAGTCACCTCAGGGAGGGCTGCTGTTGTCTCCCAAGTAATTTCCTGAGTTTGGGGGTTTCAACTTCATTTCCCAAGCCATCTTCCACACCCAGAAATGGCATGAAACTGTCTTTTGATACTGTGTCCCAGTTACTGGTTGAGCAAAGTACAGATTTTTAATGAAACAGGAAGTTTTCAGTTCATTCAAGTTCTTGTGTGTGTGAAATGCTTCTAGACCCTTTGATGTTTGGGGGCTGAGGCCCTGTTCATCTGCCTTCCTAGCACTTGGCATGTTTCCTGTTGACTAGTCCTAGAAACTAGGATGCTGGGTCCTCATCTGAGAAAGGAGATTGGGTGGGATTGGGCAGGAGGAGAGCTCAGCTGCTGGCAAAGGGAGGGGTGACGGGAGGAGGAGTGTCCTGTGGAGAGCTGATCACCTCCACTCCTGGGAAATCTCATCCAATGGGCAAAGCTAAAAGGCCTCTGACAGGCCTTTGGGGACTTCCTTATCTATACCCCTAGGTATATACCCAAGATAATTGGAAACTTACATTCACACAAAAGCTGGTACATGAATGCTTAGAGTAGCATTATTCATAGTAGCTCAGGAGTGGAAACAGCCTGAGTGTCCGATGACAGATAAATAAAATGGAAATGTTCTATAGAATGTAACAAATATTCCGTAGAATGGAATATGACTTGGCAATAAAAATGAAGAAGTTCCGATTCATGCTACGACATAGATGAACCTTGAAAGTATGTTGGCTGAGAGCAGCGACTCACAACCATAATCTCAGTCCTTTGGGAGGATTGCTTGAAGCCAGGAGTTCAAGACCAGCCTGGGCAACATAGTGAGAACTTGTCTCTACAAAAAATTTAAAAATTAGCTGGACATGGTGGCAGCTGCTCAAGAGGCTGAGATGGGAGAAATCACTTGAGCCCAGGAGTTGGAGGCTGCAGTGAGCTATAATCCTGGGTGTCAGAGCAAGACCTGGTCTAAAACAAATTATATGTATTTATATGGTAAGTGAAAGAAGCAGTTACAAAAGACCATAACATATATGATATGTCAAGAATTTATATGGGATGTTAAGAACAGACAAATCCATGTAGATAGATTAGTGGTTGATGGGGGCTGGGGAGGTTGGAGGGAAATAGGGAGTGACTGCTAATGGGTATGGGTTTTTTTGGGGGGGGGTGATGAAAATGTTCTAAAATTGTGATGGTTACACAACCTTGTGAATATAGTAAAAACCATTGAGTTGCATACTTTAAATGGGTGAATTTTATGTTATGAGTTATATCTGAATAGAGCTGGAAAAAACATACTAAGTAGGCTAGGTGTGGTGGCTCACGCCTGTAATCCTAGCACTTTGGGAAGCTGAGGTGGGTGGATCACCTGAGGTCAGGAGTTCAAGACCAGCTGTTGACCAAACTCTGTCTCTACTAAAAATACAAAAATTAGCCAGGTGTGTTGGCGGGCGCCTATAATCCCAGCTACTTGGGAGGCTGAGGCAGGAGAATCACTTGAACCTGGGGGGGCGGCGGTTGCAGTGAGCCGAGATCGCGCTACTTCACCCTAGCCTGGGTGACAGAGCAAAACTCTATCTCAAAAAAAAAAAAAAAAAAAAGTAAAAGAGGGAAGTGTCCTCCTTGGTTACAGGTTGGTTCCCAGCCCTGCCCTGACTTGGGTGGTGTCCTGTTTGAATGCTCACCCTCCAGTGGTGGTCTGGAGACTTGCCCTGCCCCTCCCTACCATCCAAGCCACCCTCAGTCACCCACCACTGCTACCCCAACATATGTGTGCCTTTCTGATCCTCAGCACCTCTGGACAGTCCTCCTGTGCTCCCCTGGGGAGGGTCTGGGACTCCAGATCCCTTTCTTAGGACTCTTCCAAGCACCTGTGGCTGGCAGAGCCTTGCCTGACGTACATTTCTGACCTTGTGTCCCAGACAGGCCTGGGCAGCAGCACCCTTGTGAAGAGGCCGCATGCCATGCTTTGATCCCAGGCTCCAAACCCGTCTAGGCCCCGCTGGTGACTCCTGAAGCTGGGAGAGTCAGTCCAGCACCCTTGGCCTTCCTTTGGCTCTTCCCCTTCCTGGCGGCCGCCTGTGATTAGGGGGAGGGGAGAGTTATAGGAAGGAAAAGAAGGGTGCATCCCAAAGAGGAGACACTAAATGGAGTGTTTTAGAGGAGGGGGATGTGAAAGAGAAGGAACAGTTGCCACAGGTTGGACTGGTTTTTATTGGAGAGTCAGGAGTTGCTTTCCTTCCCTTGTCCCTGCCTCCCCACCCACAGAACCCCACTCCAGTGGGGCTTGTCCTTCATCTGCCCCTTTCAATCCCCGTCCCCAGCTACACAGGCACTCAGGGAGAGCACTCATACCGTGTGGGCAAGACAGCCCCAGGCCAGGTAGGCAGTGAGCTCCCTCAAATCCTCCCACCCCCAGGACTCAGGAGGGAGGGGCAGGAGAGGTGTGGGCCCGGTGTGCAGTCCTCAGGCGGCCCCGTGCGCTCGCAGTCAGCCAGGCCTTGTGCCTCCTGGATGGTGTGATGAGGCACATGCCCCGTAGCCTTTCCCTTCCAGAGGGCCTTAACCAAGAAGCATCTTGTTTAGGGGCTGGGGACAGGGTGGGGAAGATGACAGGAGGACAGCTGACCTCTTCACCCTGAGAAGGCAAGAGGCACTTCTGGGGAACAGTCCTGGACTCAGATGGCTCAAGGAAGAGGCCAGGGGACTGGAAGGGGCCCAAGGGTTCCTGGGAAGCCTGAGATCCTCTGTCTAGGAGAGAAGCTAATAGCCACAGGACAACCTGAGAGTGGGTACGTGTGAATACCACTCAGAACAGTCTGCAGCCAGCTGAGGGATGGGCCTACCCAGATCCAAGGCACTTCTGGGGCAGTGCCAGGGGCTGCCCCTGTAGACGCCTCCCAGGAGGATAAGAGTGCTAGCCTGGAATCTGGCCAGAAGTTGGGGTGAAGGGGGGCTGCTGGGCCACAGAGCAGGACCTGCCCAGGAAGCTGTGGCCACTTACTTGGAGGAAGACAATCTAGGTGGACATGAGGCCAGGGCCCCCCGCACCAGGCCTTGCCTTTGAGTGGTATCCCCTTCAGAAGATTCCAGCCAACATCAGGGGAAGCAGGAGCAGTAGTCCCAGGAGAGGGCCCCACACATGACCAGGGCCTGGGTTCAGCCCTGACACGACGCTAGGCTTGTCAGGGCCCTCTGCACCTGTGGGAAGAAAGAGGCTTTGCCTCAGCCTAGAGACGGCTGTGCCTGCCGTCCCACCCACCCCACCATGCAAGGAGGTGGGGCAGCAGCCAGGGCGGAAGCTCCTACTCACAGGGCGCATGCCCCACCGTGCTCATACCACCTACCGCTGGGGCAGGACACTGCCATTCCAGAGCCAGGAGGGGAGTGGGACTGATGCCACGGGCCTTACCTGGCAAGGACGACTGCAGAGCCAGGGCACGCCCACCCGTGGCATTAGCGGTGGCAGAGGTATTGGGGAAATTGGGCAGGGACTTGGAGGAGGTGTGCCCCGTGTGGTCCAGTGTGGCCTGCAGCTCACCTGGCTTGTCCTGGGCTGGAAAAACTGAGGCCAAGACCTCACTGGAAGGAGGCAACTCAGCCTCAGCCTCTCCCTCAGCCTCAGCCTCAGCCTCAGCCTCAGCCTCCTCCTGGGCATGGGGTAGGAGCTCCCTTGCCCCTGTCAGGGACATCTTGGGGTCCAGAGAGTTCTCTGGGCTCCTGAAGGGCACTTTTGTTTTGTCTGTCACTTTGTCTGCTGATTTTGGGATAGGAACATGGGTCAATTCCGGGAAGGTAACTGGCTTCTCATCCAAGGAGGGCAGGCTGTGGGCTGCCAAAATGGAAGGCACCTCAGTTGTTACAGAAGGTGGAGCCTCTGTTGCCATGGAGGGCGGGTCTTTTGTTGCTAAGGAAGTTGGGGCCTGGGTTTCCACAGCAGGCAGAGCCTTGGTTGCCAGGGAACCTGAGACCTCTGTTACCAAGAAAGCCGGAATCCCCGTTGCTAGGGAAGGAGTACCCATTTTCCTAGAGTCTGAGGCTTCAGTTGCCAGGAAGGATGGGGCCTCAGTTACCAGGTAAGGCAAATCCTGGGCGTCTTCCGGGCTTCCGATGGGTTCTGATAAGACAGAGGAGAACTGGCCTGAGTGCTGCAAGCAGGACCTCACATCTCTCACCGCACCGCAAACCAAGCGACCCGATCAAATGTCCTACTAGGACACACAAACACACACACTTCTCCAGCGGATATGCCCCTCATTGAAAATAAAAGTTACAAGCCGGGCGCGGTGGCTCACGCCTGTAATCCCAGTACTTTGGGAGGCTGAGGCAGGCGGATCACCTGAGGTCAGGAGTTTGAGACCAGCCTGACCAATATGGAGAAACCCCATCTCTACTAAAAGTACAAAATTAGCCGGGTGTGGTGGCGGGCGCCTGTAATCCCAGCTACTTGGGAGGCTGAGGCAGGAGAATTGCTTGAACCCGGGAGGCAGAGGTTGCAGGTGAGCAGAGATCGAGCCATTGCACTCCAGTCTGGGCAACAAGCGCAAAACTCTGTCAAAAAGAAAAAAAAAATAGAAAAGAAAAGAAAAGAAACGCTACTTCTGGTGATTGACACAGTTGCTCCTCTCTCCACCTCCTGGTCCAAGTCTCTCTACATTCGTACTTGCCCTTTTTCAGGGCACTTCTCCAGCGGGATCCCGGTCCCTCACACGGCTCCGGCAAGGCCGGCCCCGCCCTCTTGAAGCCAGTTACCTGACCATGCCCCCCGGCCTGGCCCCGCCCGCTCCTCAAGACCCTAACGATTGGCCACGTCCACCTCACGCGGGCCCCCCGAAGCCGCCAGACTTTCTAACATCCTCCCTTTGAAGGGTTGAAATCCGGCCACTTGGAACGACAGGGCGCCAAAGTGGCTGCGTGTGGAGGGCTAAGGGAGCCGCCAGGGACCCCCGGTGGTCGCATCCCGCCCGGCCCCTCCCCTGCCCACGTCCCGCTCAGTCCAGGGAGGCTCTTAGACCATCCAGTCTGCATCGCATCCCTTCCACACTCCCCGCCGCTACCCATCCACCCGTGGACTCACCACAGAGGGAGTTCTTGCAGCGATAGCCAGAGGGACATTGGGAGCACGGAGTCCCCTCCTGGTAGGGCCGTTTCCCCTTCACGTTCCCCCTACAGGAGGTCAGGAGGATGCTGAGGGGAGGGGGTCGACCTCTCCCAACCCTCTCCCCAACTCCTATACACACATCTACTCTGGACGTGCCCTTGGGTCTCCTGACTGCCAGCCACTGACTTGCTAGGCGATCTTGGGCTCCTCCTGGCCCTCTCTGGCCGATGAGAGCAGACCACCATCGGTGCCTTCACAGCTCCCTGGATGGTATAGCTGCAGACTGACCCCTCTTCTCCCACTCCCTCAGGCTGTGGCCAACTCTGCCCTCCCCCTGGCTCTGCCTGTGTCTTCCCCCCTCCATCTCCAGGGTTCCCCCCAGCACTCACGGGGGCTCATAGTTGCACACCAGTAATTCGATGTTGGTTTCCTCAACACCCTGGAGCTTCTCACAGAAGTGGGAACCGCAGCCGATCCTCTCTGTCTTGGCCCAAACCACCTGAAGGAGGGCATATCTAGCAGCTCAGCCCCATGCGAGGTGGCATGGTGCCTTCCTGGCATCCCACTACACCCTCCTTACAGGGGTGGGGAGAAGAGGCACCCTATAGCCTGTGACATTCACGTTCCCAAAGCCATGCAGGTTCAGGACAAAACTCTGATCAGGGGGAGGGATGGGGGAGTTTGTCCCTAACAGTCTACTCTCCTCTGCTAACCACACATACCACTTTGCCAGGCCTCTTTTCCTCTCAAAACCTTCCCTCAGCTCCAGGACTGTGATATACCCTCATTAATTTTTTCTGTGGGCTCTTCCTAGAGGCCCTTGCATTTTAAATGAAGGGTATATGCAAAGGAAAGAATCTCAAATAGTAGAATTTTAGACCTCAGCAACAAGGAAAGTCCAAGATGGGGAGCAGGAGGAGCCATTTTGAAAGTGGAACTTCCCCCAAATCACAGGTAAGCAGGACCTGTTCTGGTTGTTTCTCAGTGTGGGTCTCTTAGCTGCTAGAATGACTTCTGTCTTTATAAAACAAAAAATCCAACAACATTTGTGTGCTGCCATGGGGTGAGACCAGCAGCCTTTCCTTGCTGGTTCTAGGCCCAATCTGCCCAGGAATCTCTGCTGAAATCAGCTGAAGGTCTCCCCGGTGTTGAACACCTTCTGGGCAGAAACAACTCCAGAGTACATTCACCCTCAGCCCCAGAGAAAGCTGGGGTGGAGCTGCGCTGACTTACTCCCTGCTGGGTCCTGATAACAATCCCTGCACAAGCAAGTGGGTGAGGGTGGAGGGAGAGGGAGGGGGGGCAGGATCCAGAGGGAAAGGGCCAGGAAGGGTGCTGGGCCCTCACAACTTTCTGACCTGGGTGGGTGCTGCTGGGATTTCCTCCCTAAAGATGAAGACTAAACAAAAAAAAAGATGAAGACTAAAAATACCATAAAAAAGAAATGGAATTGGTGAATGTGGGTGGGAAGATGGTTGGTTTCTTTTCTTTTAATTGTTTGTCATGTTACTATTTGTACAACACATAAGCACTGGGAGGAGAAAAAATAATTCAGTTACACTAATGTTAATTCACCTACACACACACACACACACACACACACACACACACACACACACACATACATCTTATCTGCAAGCCCAAACTTTCAAAATGCAGTGAGAATCCAGACAGGAGCAAAGTGTGACTGGGGAGCAGAAAATTCTATCAGAAATCTCCCTGAAGCCTTCATTCAGCCACAATTTGCTGTTCATCATTATGCATAATTGTTAAATGCAAAAGAAAAACTAGACAAAATTGTCTATTTGCTTTATTAGTCCCTGGCAGATGACAAGTAGCAAATTAGACACCATAATAAATGCGAAGGAGCCACAGAGAGAAGTTAAGGGACTATCTGCTGCTGGGGCAAACAGCCCTGCACTATCTGGGGGAAGAGGGGCAGGACCACTTGGAGCACCGTACAGTATTGCCTAGGTCAATAACCACGATCCATAAAACTGGCTCTGTGACACCTAACATGTCCCACCGCCCCCACCCCTTTTTATTTATTTTATTTTTTTTGAGACAGGGCCTCCCTCTGTTGCCCTGGCTGGAGTGTAGGGGCGCCCTCACGACTCACTGCAGCCTCAGTCTCCCGGGCTGAAGTGATCCTTCCACCTCAGCCTCCAGAGTAGCTGGTGCGCGCCACCGCGCCCAGCAAAGTTTTTTTGTATTTTTTTGTAGGGACAGGGATCTCGCCATGTTGCCCAGGCTGGTCTCCAACTCCTGGCCTCAAGCAATCCTCCCGGCTCGGCCTCCCAAATTGCTGGGATTACAAGCGTGAGCTACCGCGCCTGGCCTAGCGGCCTAGGTTTTCAAAAGACTGTAGAGAAGCCGACTCCGTCAGAGGCTTAGACAGCGTATTAGCTGTAGTGAGAAGACAAGATTTGCAAAGTATCTGAGGGGACTTGGAGTGAGGCCCGCCTCTTGTAGCGAGGACGCTTAGGAAGGGTGAAGGCAGGGGTGGCCCCGCCCACGGAGCACGTGGCCCCACCCCCACGCCGCAAGGCTCCGCCCTGCCCCGCCCGCCGGGCCCACACCTGCGTGTAGTGGCCGCACATCTGGCCCGGGCTGCAGGTAGCGGCGCTGAGGTTGTAGTGCTCGCGCTCGTGGTGCCACTCCTCCATGGCCAGCGGCACGTCCAGGCCCTCGTCGGTGATGGCGAACAGATTCTCTCCGCGCCGCCCGCGGTCCTTGTTGTGGCCCCACACGCACTGCCGTGCGTAGGCCTTGGCGAAGGCGGCCAGCTCCTCGTCCCATCTCTGCAGGGCAGGTGAGAGAAGGGAGGTGAGGATGCCCACAGATGCTGTGGGGACCAAGCAAAAGGTCGAGGAAGTCGTGGGGAAATCCTTCCGGCACCTCCTTAGCGAGGTGACTCTTGGGCATGGCCTGGAACAGGTCTCTGCTCTGGGTGGGCTTCTGTGGGGAGGGGGAGGACGCCACCCCAGGCCGTGGAGCTGGACCGTTCACCAGCTGTGTGACTGCACGGATTGTCTAACCTTTCTGCACCCTCAGAGGGCTGAGAAGAGTGGATGAGGTGGTGTTGGTGACAGTGTCACATAAAAAGCCTCATGTGAAAAAAGTGGCCACACATGCCCCTGCCTACCTCCCAGGCCTCCTTGAACTTCTCTGAAGAGCACAGGATGTCTGGTGAGATCCATGTTGAGGGGCTGGGTTGTTTATTCAGCCCATTTCACCCCCACTCAACCAGGAACCTGACTTGAGGGCTGGCACCTTCCTCTCCCTCTAAGCCCCCACCCTCCCCTTGGGACACCCAGCCCCCATGCCTTTACCCTCTGCAGGCTCCCTCCCCAGTGCTGTTCCTAACTGCTCCCAACCCTTGTCAATGGCAACCCCCTTTCTCCAAGAAAATTAAGTGTCTGTAGGTGACACTGAATGTCACAGGCCTCTCACCAAGGGGCCTACTTTCAGAGCCTTGGTAACCCACCGTCAACCCCAGTGACAGTGTTCTCCAGTGGGGACCTCAGGTGAGATGGTGGGAGGGGAAATTTTAGGTTCAGGGCCTTTGAGATTGTGTCCCTGGCTGAGAGGCAGGCCGAGTGTGGGTGGGAAGAGGGATTAACAAGGCATCCAACCCAAAGGATTGAGGAGGGGAAGCCTGGATCCCATTAAATGCTGTCCTTGGCTTCTCCTGGAAATCCATGGCCTGGAGGCAGCTTTTGCTCCACCCAATGGGGGCCCAGCCAGCTGTGGGAGCCAGACAGCCCATAAAGCGCCAAGAGCTTGGGTGACCCTGAGGGGAGGTGTCTGTGTGGCCACACCCACTCCCCACCCGCTCAAGGCTTTCAGGAGCCGCTGCCTGGCATGGGGATGGGTGCACCTGGCTGGGATGGCTCCACAGCTGTGACCTTGGGTGAGTATCTTTCCCTCTCTGGACATTTTTGTCCTGAATCACTGGTCCCTGAGATTCTCTCAACTCTGGCAACAGTGGGAGATTGGGAGTGGGAAAGGGGCAGGGTGCTGGCGACCAGGGTCAGGGTGTCTGAGATGACCTGTGAGGTGCCAGGCTGGACTGTAAGTGCCGTCAGGATAGGGTATGGATGGATCTCCAGTGTCTGGTGCAGTACTAGCACATAGTAGGTGCTCAACAGATACTTGTCAACTATTGATGACTGAGACAGGGCCCTGCTTAAAGCAGTCTCCCCCTACAGAGTCTGCCTGTAATTTCCATTCTGACAAAATACCTGGAGCCCCACCATTAGCGTCATTGGTTTGGTCTTAAGGATTCTCAGTCAGTCATCCAGAGCCCCCTGTGGAGTTGTAAGACTCTCAGCATCCACCCACATTGGCCACATGGTCACCATCTAGAAGCAAGCCCATTCATTCATTCATTCATTCACTCGTTCATTCATTCATTCAACAGTCCTGGGCATTGTGTCAGCCCTGGGACAACAGCAGGAACCAAGAAGCCCAAGCTTCCATTGACAGAAAAATCATTTGGGCCACCACATGGTAAATGACAGATGTGCAACAAGTACTATAGGGGCACCAAAGAGGGCCATCTAGCCCAGCCAAAGGTGGAGAGGGAGACACCAAGCTAAGTGTTAAAAGATGAGGCATTAGCCAGCTGGGGGAAGAGGCGTCCTAATCAGAAGGCACACATCAGCAAAGGCATGAAGCTGGGAAACATTTTGGCTGGGAAAAGACAAGCTGTTCAGGTTACAGAAGAATAAAGGGCAAGCGGGAGAGGAGGATGGAGCGATAGGCAGGGGCCAGAACACACAGAGCCTTCTCAGGAGCCGGAGCTTTATCCTGAGGCAGTAGGGAGCTGTGGGAGCCACTGAAGGATTTTGAGCAGGGTCAGGCCCATGTGTTGGATTATTCATTCTGACAGCAGAGGCCAGAAGCTGGGGAACAGGTAGGAGCTATCCTAAGAGTCCTTGGGTTCAAGAATGAAAGAACCCTGAACCAGGGTTGTGCCAAAAAGAGAAGGGGGTGGGGGAAGGGTTAGATTTCAAGGACAATTGAACCTTCAGGGGGCCAAAACTGGTACTGATTAGACCTGGAGGCTGAGAGGGAAGCGTTCATGATAACCCCCACCTGGCTCACCCTGGATCCATTCCCTCTTTTGTGTTAATCAGACACTTATTGAGCACTTACTGTGTGCCAGGCATTCTTCTGAGTGCTTTACACATATTCACTCATTTAACCCTACAACTACCATAGCTACAAGGGAATTATTCCACTGTTATCATCCCCATTTTACAGATGAGGAGACCGAGGCACCGAGAGTTTAACTTGGCCAAGGTCACAAAGCTAATAAGTAACAAAGGCAAGATTTGAACTCAGGCCATTTGGCTGCAGAGTCCCTGCCCTCGCCACTACTGAGGTTGAACCTGAGTCTTGTCCTGAATGTTTCCTGGCATCCCAGCCCCAGCCTCATCTCCTCCTCCTCAAAACACTCCCCATTAGGCAGCAGCATATCCCCTCAGTATCCCAACTGCCTCCCAGAATGTTGGCCCGCTCCAAGGTGCTCCTCTGTCTGAGAAGCGGCTCCCAGCCTGTGTGGCCCCCATCTCAGCCAGCAAGACTGTAGGCATCAGGGATCTACAGGTGGGGAAACTGAAGCCCAACCATGAGTCACAGGCCTCAATCAGCGCGCTGTTGACAGAGCTGCGTCTGCGACTCCTGGTTTGTTGTCTACCTTTCCTGGATGCCCAGGCTGACACAGCTGTGAACGGCAGTGCTGGGTGTGTGTGCAGAGCTCTTCCTAGATCTTTCTCACATGTCATCCTGTCTGACGCCCAGGGCAGGGATCGCCAGCCCCATGTTTCCATCCGGAAACAGAGGCCTTTGAAGGGAAAGGGGTCCACCCAGAGTTAATTCAGTCAGATCACATGGGGCTGAGGTTAGAACTTAGGTTTGGGCCCCAGGCTCACTGTTGTGTTCCCCAAGGTGCATCTGTTCTCTCAGGCACCAGCTCCAGGGGTCCCTGATCCCTAAACACTGCCCAGCAACCTCCCCAGCCATCTGAGGGTGGGTGGAGGGGACAGGCTAGTTCAGCCCTCAGGGAGGGCAGGAAGGCGGTGAATTTCTCACTTTATCTCCTTTAATCCTGCATATAGACAGCCCGCCTCTCACCCTGCCATAAATAGCTCTTCCTAAGAGAAGTAACCAGCCCTAAATCTGGCTCTGTCTCCTGTGTGCATGTACATGTATGTTTACTACATCTGCGTGTTTCACCGGACATAAATAGTATTTTTACATGTCTTCAGACTTCATGTAAAGAGACCCTACTGTGTATTTTTTAGAGATTTTATTTTCTCCCCATTCAGTATGATATCTGTGAGATTCAGTCCACACTGGTATATATGTAGCTCTAATTCTGACAGACTTTTACAGATGAGACTTGGGATCAGCAAGGTTAAAGGACTCGCCTCGAATCACACAGGTTTTGTAGGCGACCAAGACAGAATTCGGACTGTGTGATCCAGAGCCCTCTCTGCTTCTGGATCCTGCTGTCACCTACCTCCTTAGCACCTGCATCCTACCCCAGGTGCCCATGCCCATCCTGCTGCCCTGCTTCCTCTTGTCCTCTTCTTGGCAGGCATATGAAAGACCGTTTTCACAAAGGTGTTAAGAACTTCCCGGGTTCCCCCACCGAGGGCACATGCATTTGAGGAAGTGCTGGGGAAAGGTCATTGGAGTGGGAAGCCAGGGTTTTGGGTCTGACTCTACCAGCTGTGTGACCCCAGCAAGTCCCTCTGAGCCTCACTTTCCTCATCTGTATTATGAGGTTGCTTATAGGGGCCTGTGAATTTTATTAGGCGGGTGCAAAAGTAATTGTGGTTTTTGCCATTAAAAGTAATGTAACATAATGTCAGGGACTCAGGGACTCTGTCACTGACCAGAGAAAGGAGAATTCTGAAATAGCTTCAGCATGTGGAGCAGGGTAAGAGGGCCTGGTGACAGACCCTGGCCAGCACCCCTTCTATCCCAGCCAGCAAGCGCTGTGGCCACACTTACCATGTGCAGCATGTCTGAGGCCGGTGGGGATACCTGGGCCCGGTAAAGGTTGTGCAGCTCCAGCATCAGACGTTTCTCCTCATCTGTGAGGGCTCCAGCGGGGCCTGTGGTGGCCACCAGCAGTAGCAGCAGCGGCAGCAGAAGCATCAGGAAACTGCAGGAGCCGTGCATGGTGGCCAGCCGTCTCTCCTTCTCCCGTGCAGGGGTCTGGCAGCTGGATTTAAAGTCCTTCCCACACAAGCACCACCCTGGCTGGGGTGGGGCAGTGGGGGCTGTGTCTGAGGCCCAGCCCGACTCACACAATGTCTCAGGGAGGGCTGGGTGCCTTGGGTCCCGACCAGCATCAAGTGCACTCCCCTTGGAGTCCTTGGCAAAAAGCTCCTTTCTCTCGGTAACGGGGGCTCAGGCCAAAAGCTGTTAGAGTTCCTAAGTTGTGGACAGATCCTTCAGGGGCAAAATCATAGTAACCTCTGCAGAGCTGTGACTGGTTGCACCCAGGTCACACCCACTGTGTGTTGAGGATAGATAAGAGAAAGGAAACCACAGACCCTACCCGCAGAGGAGTGGACAAGATGAGGAAGCTATAGGCTTTTGAAAGGACAGAGGAAGACCACATGTATTTGATAAAAGGCTGAGCCAACCTGAATCAGAATCCTGGTTCTGCCCCTTGTTATCTGTGTTTTGGCAGCTTTCTCAAGTGAATCAGTGACAATAATAGTACCTACCTCATAGGACTGGAGGGAAGATTCAATGACATATAATGTATGTAAAGCACCTAGTATGGTATATGGCACAGAGTAGGCCCTCAGTAACAGTAGACAACCCACCCATGTGGCTTGGGCCTTAGCAGGCTACCAGCCGCATGGGGAGGCAACACTCTTGCCTGTGTGGGAAGGGGCCAAGGTCTTCCCCACTCTACCTGTATTCAGGAATAAGGCCTTTCACTATGGCAAAATTTTGGCTTCCACGTGTCCTCTCTGAATGCAGGTGCTTGACATGCTCATTTGGAAGTGGGATGCTGGGACTCCTGTGCTCTGAATACGTAGAAATATAATGTGTCTGTTTCTTAAATCAAGAGAGAGCAGAAAAGCAGGAGGTTGAACGAGCTGATGCACCAGGAGCTCTGAGGGGAGGGTATTGGAAGGGAAATAGGCTTAGCAGCCAGGTGCTGGCATTATAATGACCTTGACCTTGCAGGGGCCATGACTTAGGCCTTGGCCTTCATGAAGCAGGAAGCTGAAACCAGTACTCTTGAAGATAGCTGGGATCCTTGAAGCCTGCTTCCTCAATGAATAGGGACCTAGAAAAAGCCTACCCACTGGCTTTGGAAGATGACAAGAAAACCTGTCCCTGCCTGAGTCTCCAAGTAAAAGTAAAAATAAAACCAAGATGGATTACACACACACACACAAACACACACACACACTTATTAGAATTAATAAAGTCAGCAAAGTTGCAGGATACAAAATTAACACATAGAAATTAGTTGTTTCTATACACTAATAATGAAAAATCCAAAAAGGAAACTAAGAAAACAATTTCATTTATAAAAGCAATGAAAAAGAATAAAAGTATTACCAATAAACTTTTTTTTTTTTGAGACGGGGTCTGGCTGTGTTGCCCAGGCTGGAGTGCAGTGGCGCAATCTCGGCTCACTGCAACCTCCACCTTCCGGGTTCAGGTGATTCTCCTGCTTCAGCCTCCTGAGTAGCTGGGACTACAGGTGCCTGCCAATATGCCCAGCTAATTTTTGTATTTTTAGTAGAGACGGGGTTTCACCATGTTGGCCAGATGGTCTTGATCTCTTGACCTCGTGATCCGTCTGCCTCGGCCTCCCAAAGTGCTGGGATTACAGGTGTAAGCCGCTGCGCCTGGCCCTTAGCAATAAACTTAACCAAGGAAGCAAAAGACTTGTACACTGAAAATCACAAAATGTTGCCAAAGTGAAAGAAGACACAAATAAATGGAAAGACATCCTATATTCATGGATTAGAAGACTTGATATTGCTAAGGTGTCAATGTTGCCTGATGCAATCTACAGATTCAATGCAATCCCTATTGAAATGCAAATCATAATATTTTTATAGAAACAGAAAAATCCATCCTAAAATTTATATGGAATCTCAAAGGACCCCAAATAGTCAAAACAATCTTGAAAAAGAACAAAATTGGAAGTCTTACAGTTTCTGATTTTAATATGTAACCACAAATCTACAATAATTAAAATAGTGTGGTATTAGTATAAAGACAGACATTTAGACTAATGGAATAGAATAGCCCAGAAATAAACTCTTACACATATGGTCAAATGATTTTAGACAAGGGTCCCAAGACCATTCAGTGAGGGAAAGGCAAGTCTTTTCAAGAAGACTTAGAAAACTGGACTTCCACATGCAAAATAATGAAGTAGAATCTTTACCTTAAGTATATTAAAAAATTAACTCCAAAATGGATTAAAGACAGAAACATAAAAGCTAAAACTACAAAACTCTTAGAAGAAAATATAAGAGGGACTTCCTGGCATTGGAGGTGGCAAGGATTTCTTGGATATGACACCAAAAGTATAGAAAACAAAAAATAAACTGGACTTCATTAAAATTAAGAACTTTCGGGGGCCAAGCGTGGTGGCTCACGCCTGTAATCCCAGCACTTCGAGAGGCCAAGGTGGGTGAATCACTTGAGGTCAAGAGTTCGAGACCAGCTGGGCCAACATGGGGAAACCCCATCTCTACTAAGTATACAAAAATTAGCTGGGTGTGGTGGCGGGCGCCTGTAAGCCCAGCTACTCGGGAGGCTGAGGCAGGAGAATTGCTTGAACCTGGGAGGCAGAGGTTGCAGTGAGCCGAGATCCAGCTACTGCATTCCAGCCTGGATGACAGAGTCAAAAAAAAAAAAAAAAAAAAAAGGACACAATTTCCCAAGAAATGGGAAAAAATATTTGCAAATCATGTATCTGATAAGGGATTAATATCTAGGACATATATTTTGTTTTTTGTTGTTGTTTTTGAGACAGGGTCTCGCTCTGTCACCCAGGTTGGAGTGCAGTCACGCGATCTTGGCTACTGCAACCTCTGCCTCCCGGGTTCAAGTGGTTCTCCCACCTCAGCCTTCCAAGTAGCTGAGACTGCAGATGTGCGCCACCACACCTGGCTAAGTTTTGTATTTTTAGTAGAGACAGGGTTTTGCCATGTTGGCAAGGCTGGTCTTGAACTCCTGACCTCAAGTGATCTGCCCACCTCGGCCTCCCAAAGTGCTGGGATTATAGGCGTGAACCACCACACCTGGCCAATATATAGGATATATTTTTAAAATATAAAATATATTTTAAAACAACAACAACAAAAACAATTTGAAGTTGATTCAGTGGCTCAGCACTTTGTAATCCCAGCAGTTTGGGAGGCTGAGGCGGGCCGATCGCTTGAGACCAGGAGTTCAAGATCAGCCTGGGCAACAAGGTGAAACCTCATCTCTACAAAAAATACAAAAATCAGCTGGGCATGGTGGCATGCACCTGTAGTCCCAGCTACTAGGGAGGCTGAGGTGGGAAAATTGCTTTGGACCAGGAGGTCAAGTCTGCAGAGAGCCGAGATCCCACCACTGCACTCCATCCTGGGCAATAGCGGGAGAGCCTGTCTCAAGAAAAAAAAAAATTGATTAAATAGGCAAAGGACTTGAAAATTCACTGTTTACTTTTTCAATTATTCATGCAGTTATTCATTGTTGAAAGACATTTCTCCAAAGAAGATATACAAGTGGCCAATTAGCACATGAAAAGATGATCAACATCACTTACCATTAGGGAAATGCAAATCAAACCACAGTGAAATACCACTTCACACTCATTAGGATGGCTATTATTAAGAAACAAAACAAAACAGAAAATAGCAAGTGTTGACAAGGATATGGAGAAATTGAAACCCTCGTACATTGCTTCTGGGAATATAAAAGGTGCAGCCACTGTGGAAGACAGTGTGATGGTGTCTCAAAAAATTAAACACAGAATTACTATATGAGGTAGAAATTTCACTTCTGGGTATATACCCAAAAGACTCAACCAGGCGCGGTGGCTCACGCCTGTAATCCCAGCATTTTGGGAACCCGAGGCGGGCGGATCGCCTGAGGTTGGGAGTTCGAGACCAGCCTGATCAACATGGATTTACTAAAAACACAAAATTAGCTGGGCGTGGTGACGCATGCCTGTAATCCCAGCTACTCGGGAGGCTGAGGCAGGAGAGTCGCTTGAACCCAGCAGGCGGAGGTTGTGGTGAGCCGAGATTGTACCATTGCACTTCAGCCTGGGCAACAAGAGCGAAACTCCGTCTAAAAAAAAAAAAAAAAAAGCAGAGACTCAAACAAATACATTTCTACACCAGTGTTGATAGTAGCATTAGTCACAATAGCCAAAAGGCGGAAACAACCCAAATGTTCATCAATGAATGAATGGAGTAGTATACACAAAATGTACGATCACATATACAATGGACTATTATTTTATCTTAAAAAGGAAGGAAATTCTGACACATATTACAACATGGATGAACTTTGAAGACATTAGGCTAAGTGAACTAAGCCAGACAGGAAAGAACAAATCTTACATGATCCCACTTACATGCAGTACCTAGAGTAGGCAAATTTATAGAGACAGAAAATAGAACGGTGATTGCCAGGGGCTGGAGGAAGGAGAGAATGGGGAGTTAGTGTTTAGTGGGTGTAGAGCTTTGGTTTCAGAAGAGGAACAAGTTCTGTTGATGGATGGTGGTGATGGTGACAACACTTTGAATATTCATACTTAATACCACTGAACTGGACACTTAAACATGGGTAAGATGGTAAATTTTATGTTCTATATTTTACCACAGTAACGACTATCACCACAAAAACAGGAATTCTTAAATTGGCCTGGAGTACAGTGACAAAGGAAAAATCGTGTCTGGAGGGAGCCTTCACAACTCAGGCCACTTGAGCCACCATGAGAAAAAAAAAAAAAAATCCGACTTTAGCTCACAATCAGAAAGTATCAAATGCATCAGGAACTGAGTCACCATGAGCAACAGACAGACAGCATACATCACAATAGGAGAATTTCTGTTCCCGAAACTTGAGATAATAGAACAATCTGGAAAAGACTTCGAATAACTGTATTTACAATGAATATGGAAATAAATGGGTAGCTGAAAAGGGGAGAAGAAAGACTTGGGGGTAGAGGGGAACAAGGTGTGGAAGAGAATCAGAAGAATTCAGGAAAATGGATTAGCCTGGGGAGAAAGGGACGTTATTTGAGAAAAATCCGAGTGGAGGAAAGAAGACTGACCAGATTAGACTACAGCCCAGACCCCTGGGCAGCTGTCCCAGGGTGTTCAGGTGGCAGAACCATGAGATGGATCTCTTTCCTCCATAGATGGGAGAACTCAGTGAGTTCCTGATAACTTGGGCTTGAGATAGAAATAAGAGGACTTAGTGGCCGGGCGCGGTGGCTCATGCCTGTAATCCTAGCACTTTGGGAGGCCAAGGTGGGCGGATCACCTGAGGTCAGGAATTGGAAACTAGCCTGGCCAACATGACGAAACCCCGTCTTCACAAAAAATACAAAAATTAGCCAGGCGTGGTGGTGTGTGCCTGTGGGCCCAGTTACTCAGCAGGCTGAGGCAGGAGAATCACTTGAACCCGGGAGGCGGAGGTTGCAGAGATTACACCACTGCATTCCAGCCTGGGCGACAGAACAAGACTCCAGTGAGAAGAAAGAAAGAAAGGGAGAGAGAGAGAGAGAAGAGAGAAGAGAGGAGAGAGAGAGAAAGAAAAGAAGGCTGAGCGCAGTGGCTCACACCTGTAATCCCAGTACTTTGGGGGAGGACACGAGGTCAAGAGATCAAGACCATCCTGGCCAACCAACATGGTGAAACCCTGTGTCTACTAAAAATACAAAAATTAGCTAGGCATAGTGGCGCACACCTGTAGTCCCAGCTACTCGGGAAGCTGAGGCAGGAGAATTGCTTGAATCCAGGAGGCGGAGGTTGCAGTGAGCCGAGATCTCACCACTGCACTCCAGCCTGGGCGACAGAGTGAGACTCTATCTCAAAAACAAAAAAAAGAAAGAAAGAAAGGAAGAAAGGGAGGGCGGGAAGGACGGGAAGGAAGGGGAGAGAGAGAGAGGGAAAGGGAGACAAGAAGGGAGGGAGGGAGAGAGGGAGGAAGGAAGGAGGGAAGGAAGGGGAGAGGAAGGGAAGGAAAGAAGGAAGGGAGGAAGGGAGGAAGGGAAGAAAGAAAAAGAAACACAGGGCTGAGTGTGGTGGCTCAGGCTTGTAATCCCAGCACTTTGGAAGGTAGAGGTGGACGATGGCTTGAGCCCAGAACTTCGAGACCAGCCTGGGCAACGAAGTGAGACCCTTTCTCTATTTCTAAAACCTTTAAAAAATTAAAATGAATAAAATAAAATAAACACAGACTTCCTAAGGAGTTAAAGTGCTGACCTGACCTGGGAAGTGCTGGACTCAGGAGTGGAAGGACACAGTTCTCAGATGCTCCCTGGCTGGAACCAGGCGCTGGTACTACAGGTTGCCCTGGTGTGGTCACCTCTGTGGCCTCTGCCTCCAGTCATGCCCCTTCAATAGCAGGGAAAACAGCTCTGCAGGTGCAGGACAATGGGCAGCATTCGTTCACTCAACAAACACTTACAGAGCTTCTCACTGTGCCAAGCGCTGAGCTGGGTGAACAAGAGCAGGAAATCCACCAGCAACCATGGGCAGTGTTGTGGACGAGAGTGTGGGGCTTACCGGCTGGGTGGCCTGGGGCAGGTGATTTCTCTGTTCACTGGCCTGTTTCCACATCTGTACACTGGGGAACAGAACCTACCTCCTAGGATGGTTGTGAGCATTAAATGAGTTAGTACATGGGTAGGGCCTGTGATCACCCCCGGAACATAGTAAGTGCTCATTGAGTTAGCCAGTATTCACATACAGCAGGTCCTTGAATAACGTCATTTCGTTCCATGTCTTTTCGTCATGACATTGGTAAGAAAAAAATTCGATTCCTGCAGGGGCCACTGTCTGCGTGGTGTTTGCATTCTCCCCACATCTGCGTGGGCTTTGTCCCACATCCCAAAGCTGTGCATGCTAGGCTCATTGGCGAGTCTGCATGGTCCCAGTGCGAGTGAGTATGGGTGTGTGAGCACCGTGACCTGTCCAGTGTCGGTTCCCACCTGGCGTCCTGAGCTGCCAGAATGGGCTCCAGCCACCCACGACCCTGAACTGGAATAATTGGGTAAATAATTACCTTACCTGCCTTTCTTTCTTTCTCTTTCCTTTCTTTCTTTCTCTTTCCTTTCTTTCTTTCTTCCTTCCTTCCTTTCTTTCTCTTTCTTTCTTTCTTTCTTTCTTTCTTTCTTTCTTTCTTTCTTTCTTTCTTTCTTTCTTTCTTTCTTTCTTTCTTTCTTTCTTTCTCTTTCTTTCTTTCTTTTCTTTCTTTCTTTCTTTCTTTTCTTCCTTCCTTCCTTCCTTCTTTTCTTTCTTTCTTTCTTTCTTTTCTTCCTTCCTTCCTTCCTTCCTTTCTGTCTTTCTTTCTCTCTTTCTCTCTTTCTCCTTTCTTTCTTTTTTTTTTTTTTTTTTTGAGATGGTGTCTTGCTCTGTCGCCCAGGCTGGAGTGCAGTGGCACGATCTCAGCTCACTGCAATCTCCACCTCCCGGGTTCTAGTGATTCTTGTGCCTCAGCCTCCTGAGTAGCTGGGATTACAGGTGCCTGCCACCACACCCAGTTAACTTCTGTATTTTTAGTAGAGATGAGGTTTCACCAAGATGGCCAGGCCGGTCTTGAACTCCTGACCTCAGTTGATCTTCCCTCCTGGGCCTCCCAAAGTGCTGGGATTATAGGCTTAAGTCAGTGCACCTGGCCTAATTATCTTGTTTTTCTTAGTTTTTCTTAAATGTATATATAGCTCACATTCATTTCAGTGTTTAATATTAGAAGTGTTTGATCTTTAGAAGTCTGGTGATGTTTTTGTCACCAGAAATATATCACAGGAATTCTATTCATTTATATCAATTAGCCTAAGGTAAAATTGGTTTTCTCTTAAAGTTGCAGTTTCCAAGAATCTCTCAGCAACTTAAGTGAGAACTTACTGTATTCGTTACTAGATATCTTCCGCCCACAGGTGGAAAAGTTTTCATAGCCTGAGGCTATAGCAAAGAAAAACAAATACAGCAACCTGACTTGGCCTTTCCCCTGGGGAGGAGCTGCCTTGGCCTGGGGGAGCTCCTAGGAAGGGAGGACACACCCCACTCTGAGGGGCAGGGGCACAGGTGTAAGTGGTGCCAAGATGTGGGCTGGGGAGGCCTCCTGGGAAGGGCATTTATGTGGAGGCAGAGACACCTGGCTTGCCTGAGACGGGAGGGTGAGATGGGAATGAAGACTGGGAGGCTGACCAGAGCCAGCCAACGCATGTGGGGACCCAGGTGTGCAGACAGAGTCCACTCTGCGTGTGCACACGTATACCTGGCTCACAGAGCTTCTCCCACCTGAGTGACCTCACCCACTCCTCACAGGATGGCTCTCCGAGGTGGGTCTCACTGTCACCTGCATAAGGAAACTGACGCTCAGAAAGGTAAGGTGATTTCCCCAGAATAGGTCGGGGAGGATCTGGAGCAGTGACAAAGTGGTGAGACCAGAGCCAGGGACCTGCCACTAGGAAAAGAGAGAGGTTAAGGCAAGCAGGTGGAAGAGAGAGAGGAATGGAGGAGGTGAAGTTAGGTGAGGGTGAGAGGGAGCAAGAGAAGGCAGCATCAGGGTAGATGGTGTGTTTTATCCATAAATCCAGACTTGGGGAAAATAGATTTTCTTCTGTATTATTCTTTCTGTATATTTTAAATCAAGTTTTATTTCGAACAGCAGTATAACTCCGTAATAAAAAAATAAGCCAAAGAGGAAAAAAAATAATTCCACTTCTGGCATTTGCTTCTAGTCTTTGAGCAGGTGGTCCATAGCCACTCAAAGTGTGGTCCACGGCCCGGTGCTGGTCTGCCGGGGATTCACCACTGGCTTTCAGTACAACAGGCCCAGAAAATGGGAGTGAATGTTTAGAAACTCTTACAGTTTCTAATTGTAACATGGTTGTTTTCTGCCTGTTGAATCTATGATTTAAAAGTTGGGCTTGTATTTCGTGTATCCACTTTTCATTTCATTCTTATTTTTTATTTATTTTATTTTATTATATTTTTTGAGACAGGGTCTCGCTCTGTCACCCAGGCTAGAGTGCAGTGGCACAATCTCTGCTCACTGCCACCTCCACCTCCCAGGTTCAAGTGATTCTCCTGCCTCAGCCTCTCAAGTAGCTAGGATTACAGGGATGTATCACCACACCCAGCTAATTTTTGTGTTTTTAGTAGAGACGGAGTTTCACCATGTTGGCCAGGCTGTTCTCGAACTCCTGACCTCAGGTGATCTGCACCTGCACTGTCTTGGCCTCCCAAAGTGCTGGGATTACAGGCGTGAGCCACTAAGCCTGGCCTGATAACTTTTTATTTTGAGATAATAATAGACTCACAGAAAATCATGAAAAAAGTACCTAAAATCCCATGAGCCCTTTATCCAGATTCTTCCAATGGTGACATCTTATATAACAATAATACAGTACACAAACCAGGAAACGGACATTCATTTTCCTAATGGGTAATGATATTGAATATCTTTTCCTGTGTTTTCTGCAACCCACATATCTTCTTCGGTGGAGTATCTGTTCATGTCTTCTAGTTCTATTTGGATTTTTTTCTGTTGAGTTTTGAGAGAGAGTTCTTTACATATTTTAGATACAAGTCCTTTGATGGATATGCATTTAATCATTTATTTTTATGATATTTTATAAAACTTTACATTTGAGATGGACTGGAAATGTTACAAAATCAAACTGGTCAATCAATCACCGCTGGTGGTTTGAGAAGCAGTCTTAGCGTCTTCTTACCTTAATGAAATAACCGACCTGCACCATATTGGGTCCTGACTTTTTTCCCCAGATAATTTATTATAAATAATTTCTCCAACTTGCTCCATATCTTTATAACCACCACTTACAAGGTTTGCAAACCTTCCATAGAGCAGCTGTACTGAGATTTACTCAGCCAATTCCCAAGGTTAGATATGATGTTATCACCCATTTCAGGGTCTTACAGAAACTCTGAGTCACTCCCTTTGGTCACAAGGCTTTTTCAAACATTTTGGATAGAATGTTCTTAGTTTCCATTCTCACCATGGTAGTTCAACTTGCTCTTTCGTTAGAATTTAGGCATCAAGGTCAGACCACATTGCTGGTTGGCCACATTCTGTGTTCTCACGGAAACCAAAGGTCAGCAGCACTGAATCCAAACCACCCGAGCAACCCGGCGTTTCCAGTCCCAGATGCTTGACCGCACGGCAACAGTGGAGTCACTAAGAGATTTTCCTTTGGTTCTATCACAGCAAACTCCAAACCAGTGGTAGCAGTCATTTGAAAAATGCAGAGACTATTTTAAAGGACAGACAAGTGCCTCAGATAGCATCAGAGAACAATGCCTAAGGGCCATGGATGGAAGCCAGTCTGCACAAAATGCTGAAAATAGGTCGTTCTGAGCAAGGGGGTCATGGAGAAGAAAGTGCCAGCCCTCCATTCCTTACACCCACTAGGCAGGTGCTTCTTCCCTTACACCCAGGCTGACCCCTCACCTGGAAACTACCTCCCTCTCGGGTTTTCACACCTGTCTTGTCCTGTCCTTCCCCTTCTCCTTCCCTCCCTTCCCTCCCTCACTCCTTTCTTTCTTTCTTTTTCTTTCTTTCTCTTTCTTTTCCTTTCTCTTTCCTTTTTCTTTTTCTTTCTTTCTTTTTCTTTCTTTTTCTTTCTCTTTCTTTTCCTTCCTTTTTTCTTTCTTCTTTCTCTTTCTTTCTCTTTCTTTCTCTCTCTCTCTTTCTTCTTTTCCTTCCTTCCTCCCTTTCTCTTTCATTCTTTCCTTCTTTTTCTCCTCTTTCTCTCTCACTCTTTCTTTCTCTCTGGTTTCTCTTTTTTTCTTTCTCTCTCTCTTTCTTCGGTTTGTTCTTTTGACAGAATTTTGTGCTGTCACCTGGGCTGAAGTGCTTTCATGCAGTCTCAGCTCACTGCAGCCTTGTCCTCCCCGGCTCAAGCAATTCTCCTGCCTGAGCCTCCCAAATGGCTGGGACTACAGGTGTGTACCACACTCAACCAATTTTTGTATTTTTTGAAGAGATGGGGTTTTGCAGATTGATCTGGAACTCCTGGGCTTAAGTGATTCTCCCACCTCGGGCTCCCAAAGTGCTGGGATTACAGGTGTGAGCCACCATGCCCGGCCTCACACCTGTATTTCTGAGACAGCTGCGCCCACCCTGCCTCCTTTTCTTTTCCCTCTCTCCTGAATTGTAGTATTGCTCCTGCTCTGGTTTCTCTGCTCCTGCTTCTCTGCCCTTCTCCTTAGCCCTCACTTTGAGGCAAGCCCTAGATGTGAGGTCTGCAGCTTGTCATGCACCAACCACCTGGGCAGGTCTGACCCTTCCCAAGACTCCTTTTGTCCAGTCTTGTTGGGAAGTAACCATGAGGGGAACAATTTGGGAATGGCCCCACCTAAAGGCTAGTCTTTGCT